GCTTCATGGCCAGTGAGGAAGAGCTCTCTGTTTGCTTCTGCTGGTCCTTCGGGAAAAACCTGTGCAGTTTGTAAGTGGGAACCGGTCCCTGCAGACGGACAGGAAAAATCCACGTTGAAATGCCGAGGGAGGGAACCGTCCCACGGGCCGTGTTAGGGCTCATGGCAGCCAGTGTGTGTGTACAGATCTTACGCGGTTATTGGTATTCTCATCAGGGCTTATCTCTGTTTTTATTTAAAAATTGTTACGTATTTACACCAGGTTTGGCTGAATTGCTGCTGTGACAAAAAGTGCTTTTTTGTAGACAAAATTTTACATTTTCCATTTTACTGTCTGGCCTTTTAACTACTTACAGTGTTTCTGTTTTCCATTTGTTTACACCTTGCTCCTGCCAAGCTTTCCTTTAATACAAGATTTCAAAGCAATTTTCCCTTTGTATAAATAGATTTGCAGCTTCTTGAACACGGCACAGTCAAAATCAGTCAACCCCCTTTAAACTCCTCTGCAATTAGCTGGTGAAAGAAAAGGGGGGAAGAACGGCTCCGACGTCTTAGTTAGTTAGTTAGTTATTTTCCTCAACACTCGGAGGAAAACCGTTCCTTTTTGTTTTATTAATGATGTGCTTATGAAATCGAGCGTTTGATGGTATGCACTTGGAGCAGGCAGAAGGCGAGCTTCCCCACATCGCACTGGCAGCGTGCTTCCTTTCTGATCTGCAGCACGCTAGTTTATTCCAGATGTAGGCTCGCTCTGAACAGAGGCTGCCTGATGTACAATGCCTTCACGGTGGAGAAAGATGGCCTGTGGGGACCCGCTCGAAGCTGCCAGCTGTATTCTCTATTCTCACTTGCGGTCTGTTACGTAAGATGACCCTTTTTTTTTTTTCCCTTCTTTTTTTGCTTGCAATTAATCCAAGTAGAATATTCATACTGTCTTTAAAAACATTTTAATTATTTGTAGCTCAGGCACTTTGAAGTTGATCAGCTTCAAGTGGAACAAATCTGGTCCAAAGGGCTGCCTGCTCAGAAGAGCCAAGTTAGGAGGAAAGTTGAGTCACCTAGGAGTGATGTAACTGGGGAGAACAAAAATTAGCCATCAGCCCAGCTGCAGCCTGACTTGACTATTTGTGTGTCTACTTGCTATGTGAGGGAAGTCAAAAAATGTAGGTCTGGAAGGGACTTCAAGAGATGGCCCGGTCTCATCTCCTCCTCTGAGACCATCTTTGACAAATGTTGGTCCATCGTGTCCATGAAACCCTTCCATTGAGAGCCCACAGTCCCTCTGCGTTGGCAGGTCTGCTGCTGATCTGGGTTTACAAGCAAAGTCCAGGGGGTGGATCTGAGCAGAATTTGCTCCCAGGAGATGGGGAAAATTTTGGCTTCTTACTCTTTTGACACTCAAAACAAGCATGGATGTCTTTCTGAGCGTTCATCTCGGCTGAATCTCGGGTGAATTGCGTGAGATTTTCTGTGTTACCCAGTGAGCCCTTTCCACTTGGGTTCACAAGTGCTGAGCTTTGTTACGGTGACTTGCCTTCAGTTAAGGGATGTAGGTTGGTCTCCTTATTCTTAAGAGTGACCAGGGCTGGGTATCTCCTAGTCCCTGGCTGTGGCAGGAGCTGGTAGTGCCTCTCTCTGTCCTCGCTGAGGATGTCTGGAGTTTGAGATACCTGGCTGGACCAGCATCAGCGCATCGCTGTGCTTCAGGCACGAAACACTTTTGCACCGAGAGCTATGGGTGCACACGTGCAGATTATCGTGTCACTTGTGAATGAAGCTAGGGGGGGATTATCCAGAGTCATTTATAAATGAAGCTATGAGAACTACCCTGAGAGGATGGAATAGTTCAGATGTTAATAGTGGCCAAGCAGCAACCAGAATTGTGCACCTGATCGGAGGAGACTGGTCAGCAGATAAACTTGTCCTCCTCCGGGCAGGGATTACGCAGGCTGTAAGGACAGTGACATCAGACATGCAAACTGCCGAATCTAGCGACATGTGGGGTTTCCTTTGGCTATTTTAAGTCTCTGGAGTGGAGTGAATACACCAAATCCTAGCTTTCATTTAAAGACTAAGTGAGTTTGTAGTCTTTTTGCTTACAAAGGAAAGCTTGAAAATATGATCCTTAAAAAAAAAAAAAAATTAAAGACATTCATCACTCTGCTTTTTTTTTCCTTTTTTTAAAGCGTTTAGGCTTTGTGTTGTTGAACCTGGGTATCTTCAGTAACTCAAGAAAACTGCTTTTAAGGAAAATTCAAATGCATTTACAAATCCTTGGAATTGGCACAGAGCTTTCCTATTAAGGCTTTCCTGTGATAGAGTCACATAAGATGCACATTCAAAGCAGCAGCATTTCCTAGCTGGCTGTGAAGTATCCCATCCTGCTCTGTGCAAAAAAGATAGCAGCTTTGTGCAGAGGGGGAGAGGGTTCTGCCGAACACCCCCTTTTTCCAAGAGGCCTCAAGCAAAGTCTAGCAATCTGCTTTTCAATACTTAGCTTTCAAAATCTTGGAGTGAGGTAGCTCAGAGGTACATGTGCATTGGTGGGGGGTGTTTGCTTTGTGGCATGTGGTTAAATGAAGAGCTATGAATGTTTTATGAAGAAGGGGGAAAGAACAGTGAGGGGATCTGATTTCCAGTTGACGCCGAATTGTTTATTCCCAGTGAAATGCATGCAGCTGACCAGCGGGGACTGGAGGGACATCCATTTCCTACATAGGAGGTGGTGAGAGTGTCATTTGAAAATGAGTGAAAGAAATACATGTTTGGGTATGTGCCAAATGGTTTTGTTGTTTTTATTGTGGCTGTGTTCTGCCATCTGTGTTCGGACTGAGTAATGCTTTACTTCGCAAGTGCTTTTGGTTTTGAACGAGTTCAAGGGGAATAAGATGGTGCTTGCATTAAGACCAGCTGAATCTTGCCATTTGCTGCTGTTAAGTGTTTTGCTATGTAAATGGATATTTAAGAGCGGGTCAGTTAAGGGTAAATTGGGATTATTTTTTTTTTTGTTAGGAAGATATGTGATAGCAAGGAGTGCTGAGGAATGCAAGCGAGGTGCTGCATGTTGTGGGCCTTGCATAACTTGCATTCCAAAAAGCTTTTGCAAATAATTTAACACAATTATATGACTGCCTTGTTAAACTTTATTGGAGGGTCCTGCTTCCAAACTGGATTTAACAATGGGATACTCAGAGTGGCATCTTGTGAGGAGAATAGTTGGTCATTGTTTCAGCCTGGGTTTGGCTGGGGGAGGCAGGGAGATTGTATTTCTCTGTTATGCTGGTTTTGTTATGGGTGCAAGGTGCTTTATAGCAATAAAACCTCTCTGGACGTTTTCATGTTGTAGCTCAGTTCTGGTTTTTAAGTAGATAAATATAGTTGACTCTTGCCCCTGCACTTAACATGGCGTCTCATGTATCAGTCTAATTTATCTCGAAGTATTCTCTGTCCTGACACGTCCTGTTGTTCAGCAG